GCGCTGAAGTCCCCCAGCAGAACAAGGGAGTCCCCAGGGGGAGCACCCTCCAATACCCCCTCTAAGGACTCCAAGAAGGGTGGGTAATCTGAACTGTTGTTCGGCCCGGTCATTGTCGAACTTTCATGACTAAAATCGCGTCATTCTATTCACAGCTTCAAATCTGCCACCCCCCTCTTGTCACAGCCCACCGGGAGAACTTTTTACCCCCCTCCACATGAGAAATTACTGTGTGATTGGTCAGAAGTTTTGCTTCAACCACTCACTTACAAAAAAGGAGCTTTAACCAAGCTTTAAGACACTAAACTCAAAGGAAAAGTGCCAAAACTTGTACTGGACAATCCAGCAGTATGACACTAACAACAAGAGGGCAGTATGACAGAGGACGGCAAGCTAATGTAAGCTTGTTGTTGATTGGTAGGTTGTTACAGTTGTGGTATAGTTGAACTCGTATAAAAAATGTAACACTCTTTGCAAATGGTTCACGTAAAGCTAATCTCATCTGTGTGACGTGATGCCCCAAAAAGTGAACCAGTCAATGGGAAACAGTAGCTGCTGTCAAATCAAACCATGGGTCTCAGGGTTCCAGAAATTTGGCTGAAACTGGGACAAAAGGGCTGAATCTGGGTTTGAACCCAGTGCAAAAAAAAAAAAAAAAAAAGTTGTCAGGCTGACAGTGCTCACCTTTCATAGGAATCTAATTTCAGCTACTTTTGTCTAGGAATACTCTTTTTATTGATCCATCTTCTGCTCCAATGAGCCATCACTCTTGAACAAAACTCCTATAACCCCTTTATGCAACTCAAAGACGCACTGAGCAGAAGGGAGCATTCCACCTCTTCCCATTTAAAAACCATGGCATTGGGTTTGAAAGGAGTGACTCACATCTCAGCCACTGTTTGACAATCAGAGGCGAACCAACCACCCTGCTCATGATCCCATGCTCTTAATCCTCCTGTTCAGAGAATTGCATCATTTAGACAGTCTGGCTTTCCTGAAAAAACATCTATATTTTTATTTTTTATTCCATAATGTGTAAATATATGGCAGTTTTTGAAAAAGTTGAGTTATTTTTGTTGTGTTTAGACTTTATACGTCTTTCTCATACTTGCGTGAGAGCTGCCTGAGAGAGGAGACCATCATTTGAAAAATGTAAGTTTAACTTTGGCATAAAAATGCTATTTAAAAAGTAAATAATTGTTTACATTTTTTATTCAAGTATTAAAATTATAATCCTTTTTATTGTGTTTTTTAAATTTATTGTATTATTTTCTTTTTATCCTTCCATTTAGGTTGACCTGACATGAAACACCACAGGACTCTGTGAAGAAGTGAAACAGAGCCCATTACTGAAGGTTGAGATTGTTTTTTTGTCTATATAGTGGACTGAATTTAAGAATGTTTAATTCTGAGTTTAACTCTGTAAATATGAGTTTTGTCATAATTTGAAAAAGTTCCTCTTAAACTCTGACTGATGCCATTTCTAAAAGCCTTTAAAATTTAAATTTGGACTGAACTAAAATTAGCAGCAATATTCTTTCTTGCCAGGAAGCAATGACATTTATTTTTGTCCTTTTGACCTCGGTTTGCTTAAGCTATTCTCAATGGTGAATAATGTCTGAATTTACAGTATTCTTAAAGCGATAGACCTGATAATTAAATAAAAACTCACTTTTAAGACTGTGTGTTTTGCTGTCAGCTCAACAGAATACAATGTGCAGCCAAAGTATTTGGTTCATGCCTGAGCAGCCCTAGGGAGCTGGATTATAAAGAAAAACCATCTGATTTCTTCTTCCTCCCTCTGACCCATTGCTCCCCCCTCACAAAACCTCCCATCTCATCACCAGCTCTCACTCAGCCCAGCCTCCTATGATTAAGGGTCAAGCGTGCCACCTCGTCTCCAGGCCATCATTAAAAACGGAGACAGAAGGAGAGTGAGGGAGAGCGAGAAAGAGAGAGAGAGAGAGGGAGAGGGAGAGGGAGACCCTGGCACACAGGGCTAATGAAAGCCATGAATCACAGTGTGGTCTTTAAAGAACATATTAGTGACATCATTAACTCCGCTCAAAGGCCACAGCCGGGGTGAACAGGCAGGTCGCTCCACCACTCGCCCCGACCAGTCGGATTCAGACTCGCAAGAGCCGTCCCTCATCAGGGAGCCACCCGTGCTGCCGCGTTTGAATATCTGCCAGTCACATCAGGAAGGAATCTGTAAAAAAAAAAAAAGACAGAAGTTTGCCTGAAGAGCTGCTGCAGTAAGTTTCATTAATGCTTTAAAGATGTGACGTCACACGCAGTATGCTGTGTAATTTATACGCATTAGGATGTTGTTGCACGATCAGAGTTGATTAAATTATTATCTGCCACAAAGTTTACAGCCAATCTTACCGCCCCCCACCTTCTCTGATGCAGAATTGCACTGAAAGTAAAAAAGAAACTCTAATTTTGAGACGGTCCAAAACGCTGGTATACCAGCGTAAGCATCATATGTTGGTGTGAATTCTCAGTCATCCAGGACAAATATCTAATACGGCTACTCTGAACGGGGGCAGGGTCAAAGTGGACTGATGTTCAGAAAGCTACAAGTAAGATATCAATTGTTTATCACTTTTCTGCAGATTCTCACTTCAAAAGATCTGAACCATTGCTTTAACAAAGCAACAATCAGTGAGGGGCAAACTTTTTTAGAGAAATCCAGTCAACCCCCCCCCCCCCCCCCAACCAAAAACAACAACAACAACAACAAACTTCTCCTATTTCTGCTCCTATGAGCAACTGTAGACACATTTTAATGGACGGGCTCCTCTTAACCTGCCACTTTCTGTTTGAACAAAACAACTCTCCCTGCAGACGCCCTGCAGCAGGGGCCTGTGGGTGCTCCTCACGGGCAGTGACCTTTTCACACAGCCTCGGGACAAAGTGGCTCTCCCGGCTCACCCTGGAGCAACACTCTGCCCCCCACCACAACCCCCCCTTTCATGCGCTACAACTTCCCTCTCTTCCAAAAAAAGAAAAAAAAAAAGAAAAAAAAAACAGGACCTGATAGTGTTTACTGACAGGAGCTGGAGCCCCTCAGTACCCTCAATCAGAGTGCAGCCCCCCGTGCTCAGGGAGGCGGCCCAGGCCTCATTAGGAGCTCTATGATGAAATGAGCTGAAAGGCCCCAGTCTGAACCAGCACCAGCCAGCAATCACAGCAGCCTGAGCTAGTAAGGCTCATCTCACGGCCCCATAGGCTTTAAATCATGGATAACCTTCTTGTTTCTCTCGCTATCTAACTATCTGCACCCCCTAACTCGCTCTGTTTCACTGTAACTCTGTATGGCTTGCCTTTTCCCTCTACATTGCAA